CTTCTTCCAGATGCTCCATCATCTTTCTAACTCTAATTTCTGATCCATTCGGATCTGGAGCATAGGAAATGAAAAAAACTAAGTGGAATGGGGCAGGAAAGCTGTTACTTAGCTGGTAGTCTTACAAGCTGATGTCATACCCTCTAGGCTTAGCAAGAACTTAAATTGACTCATTTTCTTTTACCTGCACTCTTTTCTGCCTCATTACTTATTCTTCCTTATCCCCCAGATATTCGGCTATAGTGATAGATTCCCCCTGCTAAAGTCCTGTAATTGCTCCATGGCAGCCTCTTGGACAGCATCTAAGATGACCCCACATTCCACATTCTCTCTATCTTGCATATTCTCTCTCTCTCTCTGTCTCTCTGCTTCTCTCCGACTCTCTCTGTCTCATAGGTGCAGCTCATATATGATTCACAGAAAACATGCACACACTCATTGCCCTGGTGAATTCTGGAGTGCATGTTATTCACAGCAGCAATCTCAGCCATCAGCAGGTAGGCAGACTTTGTTTCTCAGGGAGGAATCATACCCCAGTCCACTGCGGGGAGACATGTTAAATTCATGATGCCCTAGAGCACTACTCAGTTGTCTTGAGGGAGAGGCAGACAGCCTACTCCCCTCCTTTTGTAAGGGATTAAGGAAACTTGGGACTCACATTACAACTTTCTTTGAAGAAATTCTTTCCAGAATGTGTCTGCTATTTTCAACTTATGATCTTTTTATAGCCTTAGATGGGTAAAGAGTTAGAGTTAAATAACTAGGTTTTTAGGAACATAGTTTGTAAGTTCTGCATGTAGTCTCACGTCCCCTTTGGAGAGAAATGCCTGTTGGTTCTTGATGCTTCAGCTGAAATGTTCTTTTTATCAATCCATAACAAAATGAACTAATTGGCATTAATAATAAATATATTATTTCAATTATAAAATGAATTAAAACATAGGAATCCAAACGAATAGATTATATAGAATATAGATTATATAGGACATTCAAATAACATGAGCAAAATTTTAAAGTTCAAATGAAGATGGAAAATAATACTGAGCTGCAAAGAGACTGGAGACATCAATTTGGAACAGAACCATTAAACTTGTCATCATTTCGTGATTTCAGAAAATAATCTAAATATTGATTTATCTGAAATATAACAAGGATAAAGAAGAAAAGCACCTATAATTCAGAAATGTAAAATGGTAAACATCTAGTGAATCTGCTTTCTTGATCTAAATGTCATTGTGTATGAGGCCTGTGGTTTTCATGACAGTAAGGTCATATATGTGAAAGGGAATTTTCCAATTCACTTCTGTCATTATACTTGTTCTGTTGTTATAAGAAGTATATTTCTCAACATATTTTTGACCATTCTCCAGAAAGGGCCTGAAAAATAGAGAACTTTTGGACGGGGTCTACAGAAAGGAGAGTATTTTCACGGATTATTAGGAAAAATGTATTTAAGACCCTGGTTAATTAATATGTGAGTAATTAAAGCAGTAGGAGTAACATAGCTAACAATGAAAAGATGAAAGTTTGCAAAGGAACTTGCTTATTTCCAGTTATGATTCTATTAGTGGCTTTCTTCAGATAACTTTGTAAGTTTGATTTTAACTAACCATTTGTTGAAAATATGGTCTGTATTCCAAAAGAAATATTGATAGTTTGTTTTTTTTCTGATTGTAAAAGTAATATATGGTCTTTGGCATTCCAGTGCTATTGAACATTAAGCTGTCCAAATCCTGTTACACCTAGTTCTCCTCATTGATTCTACAGCATCTGACATTATTGACTTCTTATTCTTCTTGAAATCCTTTTCTACCTTGACCACTGTTGTACTACTCTCTCTATCAGATGTAAGCTTTATAAGGGCAGAGGGTTTCTTTCTGTTTATATCTGTCTAATTCACCTGACCAATGGAAGGTGCTCATTATATGTTTGTTTAACGTATAAATTATTTTACATATCCACCTAATCCTCTTTTGATTTTTTAATTTATTTATTTATATATATATTTTTTGCGTTATGCGGGCCTCTCGCTGTTGTGGCCTCTCCCGTTGTGGAGCACAGGCTCCGGACGCGCAGGTTCAGCGGCCATGGCTCACGGGCCCAGCCGCTCCGCGGCATGTGGGGTCTTCCCAGACCGGGGCACGAACCCGCGTCCCCTGCATCGGCTGGTGGACTCTCAACCACTGCGCCACCAGGGAAGCCCCTCTTCTGATTTTTTTTTAACTCTTCCTCATCCTAAATCTTAAACCTTATTATTCCCCTGATGCTGAGTCTTCTCTCTCTATTCTTTCATTTTTGAGTCCTCATCCATTGTAATCAAATGACTTCTCTAGTTAAATGCAACCCATGTCTTTACCTCTGACCCTGTCGTCTTTACCTCTGACTTTGTCGGCTTTTCCAGAATCAAATATCCACCTTTCCTGTAACCATCTTTATATGTTTGAACCATAATCACCTGAAACTCAGCATATCTAAGAGATGCCTCTTGTGCTCAGCCTACAATACTGGCTCCTCATTCTGACAAGCCTTTTTTTCCCCGAGTTTTATTGAAAACTAATTGACATACCTCACTGTATAAGTTTAAGGTGTATGGCATGATGGTTTGCTTTACATATGTTGTGAAATGACCATGATAGGTTTAGTTAACATTCATCATCTCTTATAGATACAATAAAAAGAAAAGAAAAAAATGTCTCCTTGAGATGAGTACTCTTAGGATCTACTCACAACTTTCCTATATATCATACAGCAGTGTTAATTATAGTCATCATGTTGTACATTACATCCCTAGTACTTACTTATAACTGGAAGTTTATACCTTTTGACCATTTTCCTCCAGTTCCCTGCCCCCCTCCCCCTGCAAAGCTGGTGAGCACAAATCTGATCCTTTTTTCCATGAGTTTGGTGTTTTTGTTTTGTTTTATTGTTTTGTTTCATCTTGTCTTTTTTTAGATTCCACATGTAAGTGAGCTCATATAGTATTTACCTTTCGCTGTCTTATTTCACTTAGTGCCTTCAAGGCTTACCGGTGTTACAACTCTCTTTTAATTAACGGCACTGTTATTTTCTCATTCTCCGTGCTTTAATTCTAAACCTCTCTATTTTGACAGGCCTATGTTTTCATTGTAACCATCCCCACTACTACTAGCATCGGCATCAGTCATCATTAATAATATTTATATAATGCTTTATAATTTGAAAAGTATTTTCGCATGCATAATTTCTTCTTTAGGGACTAGATCCTATCTCCTTCTAAGAGACTAATTCTGGCAGCTGGAAATACTTTCTATTTAAAGTATTTAATTTGTTATTGAACAGAAAATTTTAAATGACAGTTGAGGTAAGTATAGCAAGGAGAAGTATGGAGTGCTATGAGTTAAGATAACAGGTGCCTGACTTAATTATTGCATATGAGTGTGCTTATATGTGTGTCTGTGTTTTATGAGGCTGATTAGGTAGGCTTGCTGAAGCATATTGCAGTGAAGTAGATGCTGAAAGATATATGGGAGATCTAGAGGAAACAGTATGTGCGATGGCCCTGAAGTGGGAAGGAGCATGGTATTTTTTAAAATCTGAAAGAAGGCTAAGGTACTCAGAATGGAATTGCAAGGGAAAGA